CAGCATCTCATAGACAGCGAGCAGCCCCTTGTCCCACTGGCAGAGCTGCAGGGCGTTGTAGATGACGACAGGTACGAGGAGGACGTAGACACCGCCGACCGAGAGGCTGATGAGCTGGAAGATGGAGAAGAAGACCAGCTTGCAGGGGATGAGGGGGGGGACGTGGGGCTCCGCCTGGAGCAGCCCCGTTTTGATGGAGCAGCTGAACTCGTCCTGGAAGAAGATGTTGAGGTGGAGGAAGACCAGGTAGAGGCAGGTGGCGGCCAGGAACAAGAGCAGCAGCAGGTTCCTCAGGATGTAGATGAACGCCAGGGAGTGGACGTGTTGCTTGCAGGTGAGGTAGCGCTCCAGCAAAGGAAACTCAAAATACCTCTCCCGGCGGGCCCTGGAAGCAGAGGGGACAGAGCGGGGCCTCAGAGCCACCCCCCAAACTGAGTCACTTCACCAAAGCCCGTCCTGAACGCGGCCACAGCCACGCTGCCACGTGGAGGGACTTTGGAGGGACACGGCGACCAGGCGAGGCTGCCCGGCGGCCTCACCTCTCGTATTCCTCCCAGAATCGCTCCGGCTCGGCGCTGGCCTGCTGGACCTTCCTCATGTGTTGCACCAAGCGCACGGAACGGTTGTAGGATTTGTCCAGTTCATCGATGATGAAGAGGAGGTCGGAGTGGAGGGCGGGGGCGGCCGCGTAACGCCACAACAGGTAAGGCATGTACATGAGCACCGCCACCACCAGCAGCGAGTAGGGGAAGACCTGGGCAAAGGAGACAAAGCGGGCGTGGAGCGGCGCAGAGTCGCTTCACCTCTGCCGCACAGCCGGGCGGCACCCGAGGGCACCCAGCCGCGAGCTCGAGCCGTACCTTGAGGACCCAGAGGGACTTGGTGACGGCACGTCCCTCGGCGTCGAAGCCATGGTGGACGAGGGAGTCCCAGCAAGCTGTGTCGACGTAGGCGGACTGCTTCCCCGTGAAGTTGGTGGGAGAGAAGCAGCTGATCTGCGAGCCTGGGGTGAGGAGAAGGGTGAACCTCAGCCGCAGAGGCCCGGCGAGCACGGGCGAGCACTCCGCAGCCAGGTGCTGATGCGTTAAGAGGAGGACGATTACCTCTAAGGCATCGCTTTGAATTAAAAAAACAAAGAGCGCCTGTTTCATAGTTGTTTTGTAGCTGTCCTTTCCCCCCCGTGCTGCATTTTACAGCGAGGACTTTTCCATCGCTTCCTGAACACAAACCCTTTGAGCACGGCTGTGGGTACACAGCAGCGGGTACACAATTCCCCGGAACTGGAGACCGGCCAGGAACCGGAGTCAAACCCAATTCCCCAGGGGCAGCAGCGGAATGTCAGCCAAGGCCAGATTTAGCCTGAGGTCACAACGCGCCATCGATGCGACCCTCTGCGCTGCCGTTGCGAATGCTGGTGGGACATATACCCTGAGCCGCCCTGCCGGCACCCTCCTCCTCCTCGGAAACAACCCTGCGGCACCCAAAGGTCCAGGGCATTGATTCACCGCCGGTCCTGGGGTTTGGCACTGCTGTTCCCACGCTTTCCCCGCAGTCAATAATCCATTAAAAATAATCAATAAACATCCCCGAGGAAAAACAGTTCCTAAAACAGGATTTCCAAGCTGCCCCGCCTTGGACCGCGACCACACCGGTGCGAATGCGAGGGTTTTGGGGCAAGAACCAAACTACCGCCGGCAATTGCCCACAACCCGAAGATCCCTGTTGACAAAAGCCACGGACTCACCGGCGGAGAATTCCCGGGCGAAAGCCAGCGAGACGAGGAAGAGGGGCAGCCCCACAGTGACAAACTTCAGCAGGCGATCGCTCGGCAGCTCCAGCCGCAGGCCCTTGGCTCGGGAACCGCCGGGATCCGGGAGGAGAGCATCGGAGAGCATGTACTCGGCGGCCGTGTGTGAGAGGGACATTTTTCTATCGAGGAAGAGGAGACAACGGCAACTGCTGCTGCTGCTGCCTGGAGGCTCTGGCGTCAACGGAGGCGTGACCGGCTGAACGAGCGACTTTGTAGGGCCGAAGGCATCGCTTGCCAAGCGCTCCGTACCCGAGGGCTGTAAATGACAGCTTAGACGGCGCGTTAAATCGACCGGTAATTACAGGGGGAAGCCTTTTCGCAAAATAGCACGCCCCGAAATAGAAAAAAATAAACAAAAAACCAACCAGCAGCCACAGCAGCAGGCTGGGAAGGCAGCGTTCCTCCCCGGCCGCAGCCGCTCCCCGGCTCCCCGTGGGTTTACGTCCCTCTCTCATAAGCAGATGTATTTCTGGTGGCGCTTTTGAGGGGCGTGGGGCTCCCCAGTTATTTTCGCCCCGTGTGAGGAGCGGGGAGGCAGGGAACAGGGTGTTACCCTACCAAAAAGCCCCAGCCAGGTACAGGGCGGCCCCGCGGGGTACAAAGAGCCCTTTCCTGCACCCAAACCAGCCCGAGGGGCTGTACGTCCCTCTCTCATAAGCAGATGTATTTCTGGTGGCGCTTTTGAGGGGCGTGGGGCTCCCCAGTTATTTTCGCCCCGTGTGAGGAGCGGGGAGGCAGGGAACAGGGTGTTACCCTACCAAAAAGCCCCAGCCAGGTACAGGGCGGCCCCGCGGGGTACAAAGAGCCCTTTCCTGCACCCAAACCAGCCCGAGGGGCTGGAGAAAGTCCCGCTGCCCAGCCCCAAGCTTTTGGGGACGGGCCAAGAGACACCAAATGCTGGTGGCTGCGATTTTGAGGCAGAACATCAGCTGTGGTTGGCCAGCTGTTCAATCTCTCCCCTCGTCTCCCTCTCGGGGCACGGGGGAAGGAACCTGGCTCCAAGGAAAAGCTCCTGAGGGACAGGGATCCCGATTAGAGGGTCTAGAAATAAGCGATAGGGAAATCAGAAGGGGCAGGGGGATAGAAAAGATTCTCCCAGCAGTGTAGTCACTCCCCAAAAACCCACTCTGACACCTCCGGCAGCACAGAGCGGAAGGAGTCCTGGAGCTGCTCGGCCAAGCCAAGGAACTCCCCGCGCAGTCTCTTGGCACAGCAGAAAAGCCCCACAGCCGCTGCCAAGTTGCACTTTCGATGGATTTTCAAATGAAGGGAGTCTCCAAAGTTAAATGCGGAGCGCCAGGATACGAGGGAGAGACTGCTAAACAGCTCTGGAGGGATGAGCGACGGCCCCCAAACCAGGAGGGACTGCACCCAGGTGGGATCAAACCCACCCAGGGACCGAGATCCACCTGGCCTGAGCACAGAGAGACACGCAACCCTTCACCTCTGCAGGATCTGCACCTTTTATTGCTCAGAGACAAGTTCCAAACACGGATTGGGCAAAGCCTGGTTTCCACCCGGCCTCGTTTGTCCGAACAAAGGGCTCTTCAGCGTGCCCAGCCACTCTTCCGCACCAAATCAGGGCAAAAAGCACGCGCGGGTACCTGGTTTGAAGCCAGCAATGCTGGTGCCAACACAGGAGGTCTCTGGCAAGCGGCAGAGACCGCAGACTTCATCGCACTGCTGGCTCCAAGGTGGACACCGCTGCAGAGCGGCCAGACCCAGCGCTACCGCGTGCTGGAGACGTGGAGATAGATGGTACCGCTCCTGTCCTGCCTCGTTAGTCGTTAGCGATGTCCAGCTCCAGTTTCTTCAGAGTCTTTTGGAAGAAGAGGGGCGGCTTGCAGACGAGGTCTATCTGCTTGCCCAGGGGCAGGGAGAGGCGGTGGGCATGGAGGTGGATTGGGAGGTGGCGAGCCTTGCTCTGCTCCAGCTTCAGCCTCTTCAAGGTGATTTTGGGAAGCTTCTGCAGTGAGGACAGAAAACGTCCCTTCCACAAACCCATCTCTTCAGCCAGGACTCGAAAACCCCAGCCCAGGGGAAGCTGGGGGACTCGAAGGGGCTGCCTGTCCCCGGATCCCGCTCTGGCAGCTCCCCCGACATAGGGCCTGCCTTACCTGGGGCGCCAGCTTGCTCCAGTGCGAATATTTGTGATCCCCCAGGATGGGGCACCCCAACCCATAGGCCAGGTGAACCCGGAGCTGGTGCTTCACCCCTGAGGAGGGAAGGGAAAAGAGGAGAAACATTGACAACCAGCTGTGCCAGGCCTCAGCTCCCACCTGCCACCCTCGCTGCCGGATAATCCCGTGCCAAAATCACCGGCAGCCGCAGAGCGGCCGGGCAGCAAATCATCGCCCTGGGGCGGCTTGTTCCCAGAGCTGTGGCCCAAAAAGGATTTCAGCCACCTCTAAGGACAAGTTCTCGCTTCCAGCACTGCTCTCGGCTGCAGGGCTGCATGGGAAGCGGATCCAGCAGCTGACACAACGCCAGGAACACCCGGCACAACCCCGGGGACACCCGGCCAGGCCTCACCGGTGATGGGCTGGAGCTCCAGCAGAGAGCAGGCGGAAGCGCTAGCCAGAAGGCGGTACCGCGTCACGGCGCTTTCGGCATTGCGGTTCTTGCGGATTTTCACCACCTCCCCGTCCTCCGGAGACAGGCGATAGTTGGGGGCCAGCGTCATCTGAACGGCGGCAAGAGGGTGAGCCCATGGGAAGGCGGGATGCTGGGGAGGGGGAGCGCGAGGCCGGAACGCTGGCCCAGAGGACGTCCCGCTCACCTTGTAGTGCGGCTGGTGGCTCCGCACCTCCTTCTCCACGATGGGGATCTCCACGATGCCCTCGGCGGGGTCTGGGTCCCCCAGGCTAATCGCCCTGGGAGGGGGAAACCAGAGGTCTGCGGGGTGTCGCTCCAGTGGGAAGGGAGCCCTCCCCTCATCCCCTCTCCCCACGACCCAGCCCCGTAAAAAGACGCTTGAGGGAAGATAAGTGAACAGCCACCGCTTCCACAAAGCCCCATGCCCTAGGGACCATCCCTTCAACCGTTCTTCAAAGCCGCTTCTCCACCCAAACCTTTCCTACCAGTAGACCTTCTCCACCTGACGGGTTTTGAAGAGAAGCCGGATCCTCTCCGCTGCCTCCTTGCTCCGCGCCAGCACCATCACACCCGTGGTCTCTTTGTCCAGCCGGTGGCAGAGGTGGAGGGGTTCAGCTTTCGCATTCTCCAACATCTTGGCCAAAATTGGCAGCACGTCACTAATACAATTCTTGATCCCAGGGCCACCTGCATAACCCACAGGCAAGGCAATCAGGGGAGACGTTCACCTCCCCATGTACCTTAAATTACCCCCAACAAGCGAGATGAAGGCTGTGATCTAAAGGTGACAACATCCCCATGCCGCACCCTGGGAGGGGAAAACTCAGCGCAGGGAGGATGGAGACAGAGAATCCCCCGTCAGCGCCACAGGGCCGTTTCCATCTCCCCCTCTATGGCGCCGGCACGGATGCGGCACAGCCGGCTTTTCCTCACCGTGCACAGGAAGGCCGTAGGGTTTGTTGATCACCACGATCTCCTCGTTCTGGTACACGGTTCCCTGCTTGAGCACTTTGGCCAGGACGTTGGGGTGAACCTGCTGCAGCTGCTTGCTCAGCATGGCAAGTTCCCGGACCCGCCTCTGCGCTGGGTCTTTGGGGATCTGTGGGGAGAAGAAAACGCTGTCAGTGGAGGATAGCTGCTGGAGTGTGTCCAGAGAAGGGCAACGGAGCTGGGGAAGGGTCTGGAGCACAGGGCTGATGGGGAGCGGCTGAGGGAGCTGGGGGTGTTCAGCCTGGAGAAGAGGAGGCTGAGGGGAGACCTCATCGCTCTGCAGCTCCTGACAGGAGGGGGCAGGGAGGTGGGTGTTCGTCTCTTCTCCCAAGTAGTCAGCGATAGGACGAGAGGAAATGGGCTCAAGCTGCGCCGGGGAGGTTTAGGTTGGATATTAGGAAAAATTTCTTCACAGAAAGAGTGGTCAAGCATTGGAACAGGCTGCCCAGAGAGGTGGGGGAGTCCCCATCCCTGGAGGGGTTCAAAAAACGGGCAGAGGTGGCACTTGGGGACATGGTTTAGTGGGCATGGGGGTGTTGGGTTGATGGTTGGACTGATGATCTTGGAGCTCCTTTCCAATCTTAATGATTCCTAGTTTTCACTTTAATTAAAAATAATCCAGCCACCAAGCCAGGGAACATGAAATTGCTACTCTACCCTTAATTGGTTCAGTGGTGGACTTGGTAATGTTAGGTTACTGGTTGGACTGGATGATCTTCAAGGTCTTTTCCAACCTAAATGATTCGATGACTCTATGACTACATTATTCTATTGTGAAAAACAACGTCAGTGACAGCTGAGAGAAGAGATTAAATATCTCATGAGATTTCCTGGAATGAGTGCCCTGGTTTGGGCTGGGACAGTTAGGTTAATGGTTGGACTGGATGATCTTAAAGGTCCTTTCCAACCTAAACGATTCTGTGATTCTGTGACAAAAGGCTTTGGCGCAAAGCTCCTGCGCGACCTTCAGCACCTCGCTCTCCTTCCATCGCTCCCCGCTTCGCAGCGGTGTTTCTGAGCAGGGCCGTAACGCC